AAAAAACAAAGTACAGACTGACTCAACCCTAACCTACCCCATCTTGAACTGGCTCCGTTTTTCCGTCCGATCTTTAATTCCTGAAAAGTCAGTTGTAAAAGACAGTCCAAGTCAAGTAAGAGTGTTTGTCAATCATCAAAACATAGTTCATGGACCTGAATTTGCAACATGGATATGTTGTGAAGGAATGTGCACCTTTGAAAGAAGTTCATAAAGAAGTGAAGATGACTGAAGAAAATTATGGAAAAATAGATATGGGAAGTAAACAAACAAGCCATATTAAACCTTCTTATGGACCTTGGACTATGGTTAAAAATAAGAAGAAAAGGTTTTCAAATCAAAGTAATAAGTGGATTAATCCGAATTATTATAGATTTTTCTGAAAATTTGAGGCTCCAGTAGCAGCAATTGAGACTAATCGGATTATTCTGAATTCAACCAGAGATAAAAATTTGATCCATGATCTCCCAGATGAAGTTAATAGCAATGCTCATGTTGATCAAATAGAAGAAGGTGGAAAAGATAAAGGAAAATTTATAGAGCAGATAACTCAATTTCCAGATATGATGGAGAAGAATTTTCAAATTACTGGAAATTCTACTAGCTCTAATCCAGAACCAACTCAGAATTTTCTAAACAATATAGAGGGGAAGAGTTGCTTGCGAACTCAGGTAAATCCTAAGGGATTACCTGCGAGCTCAAGTATTCCCTATCATAATCCAGAAAACAAGAATCAAACAGTTTTAAAACAGTTGGTTTTACAGAATTCTTCTGCAGCTGATACAGAAAAAATTTCTGTTATTAACTCTCTGAGTACACAGAAGAAGGAAAATTCTTCTGAAATTATTCCAGATAATTTTATAACAGAGAGTGTTGTTATTGATCTCCAAAGCAATAACAGGTTTCTATTCTACTGACAGATAGAGAGGCTGAAAAAGCTGAGCAATCTGAAGAAAATCTGGTGGTTAACAGAGAAAAAGAAGAATTGGAGATATAAGATGATAAATCTGGTAAGTCAGCTAATAACCGGAAGGAATTGATGGAGAACTTTGTATGTGGTGAAGTTAAGTTCAAGTTACAAAAAGAACTCAAATCTTTGGGGAACAACTCTATCAAATAAAAAACAAGGAAGGGAGAGACTAAAAGTATTTGTAGTGGGTCTAATCCCACTTCAAAGAAGAAATGAGTTCTCTTATTTTTTGGAATTGTAGGGGGGCTAGGAAGGTGGTAGCCTCCAGGTATTTGAAAGAAATTGTTAAAGATACTGAAGCTCTATTTGTGGGTCTTATGGAAACTAATGTTTCTTCCATGGATCCTAAGGAAGTCAAAAATTTTGTTGGTGAATTATGGGATTATTATCTGTTTCCTGCAGCTGGATTATCCGGTGGTGTTATGAATTGTTGGAGGCGTGACTTAGCAACTTTTGAAGTAATGGAAGCCAATGAACAAGTAGTGGTGGGGAAGCTTAATATCAAAAACCACCAATCATGGATGATTGCTACGGTGTATGGTAGCAGAGAAAACTGCAAAAGAAGGCAACTTTGGAATTATCTGGAAAATTGTATTGATAATAACTTTCCATGGATTATAGGGGGTGATTTCAATTGTATAATTTCTCAAAATGAGAAGAAAGGAGGCAAGAAGTTTATGCATTCACAAGGCTCACAAGACTTGATTTCTTTCATGAGTAGAGGAGAACTACATGAGGTTGGATTTATGGGTCCAAAATACACTTGTTGTAATAACAAAAATGGAAGAGGTAGGATTTTGGAGAGATTGGACCGATGTCTTCTCAACTGTGCTGCTCTTAATATTCTCCAAACGGCGGTGGTGAGGCATATAGCAAGAGTAGCATCGGACCATTATCCAATAGCTATTAATATATTGGCTTCCAAGATTAAAAAGAAGAGGAATTTTGTATTTGAAGACACTTGGCTGTCTTATAAGGCATCGCACTCAGTGGTTCTAGCCTCTTGGAGAAAAAATTCAAAAGGTTCGGCTTCATAAATTCTAAATTCTAAGTTTAGAAGAACTTTAAAATCCTTATTCTTTTGGAGTAAGGAAAAGCACAAAAATCTGATGGAGGGAAAAGAAAAGCTGAAAAAAGAAATTTTAGATTTACAAGAAGAAGAAGTTAATTCGGGAGGCCTATCAGAACTAAAGCTTCATTGTTTAAGAACTAAAATTGCATAATTTAACAACACATTGGGAAGGCTAAGCATGTGGTGGAAACAAAGAGCTTAAATTCAATGGTTGAAAGATGGAGACTCTAACTTTAAATTCTTCCATGCATTTGCCACGACAAGGAAAAATTCTAACGGAATCAATAGTGTGAAAAATGAGTATGGAATCATATGTGAAGATGAGAAGAGCATTGAAGATGTATTCATTGATTTCTTGAGCTGCAAATGGAAATCAAAGATATGCAAATTAGATGGATGGCCAGAACCTTCAAACAAATTGGATGAAGAAGATTGGAAAACTCTGTGTAAAGAATTTTCTTTAAAGGAGCTGGAGGATATAATCACAATTTTGGGATCCAATATTGCACCAGGTATTGATGGCATCACTTATTCTTTTATCAATTCTTATTGGCAAATCATAAAAGATGATGTTTGGGCTGCTATAAAAGAATTTTTTCATTCGGGTTCTCTATGTCCTGGTTGGAAAGAGACCAATGTAGTTTTAACTCCCAAAGTAGAGAATCCAAAGAATCCTGTTAATTACCGACCAAGAAGCATGTGTAATGCTATTTATAAAATTGTGGCCAAGATGTTATTAAATAGGATGAGTTTCTTATTTCCTAAAATCATCTCAGAAGAACAACATGCTTTTATCAAGAGTAGGTCTATGTCTGATCAAGTTCTTCTTGCTCAAGAATTGTTTAACAAGTTTAGACATTCTAAAGCTAAGGAAGGTATGGTGGCTATCAAAGTTGATATGGAACAGGCATATGACATCATGTGTTGGCCTACTTTGGAAAAAGTTTTGGATTGGTTTGGATTTCCAAAAAAAATTTCTAAATTAATTTTGGAATGTGTTGTTAATCCAAAATTCTCCATTTTGATTAATGGTGGAAGTTCAAAATGGATAGAGGCTGGTTGTGGATTTAGACAAGGATGCCCTTTATCTCCATTCCTTTTCATCTTGTGTTCTCAACTTTTGACGGAAGAATTTGGGCATTTAGGAAAGAAGATTTGTGTAAGAATCAATTCAAATGGACCATTGATCTCTCACTTAATGTATACCGATGATATTATGATATTCTCTAAAGCTAATAAGAAGTGTTTGAAGAAAGTTATTAAGATCTTGAAGAACTATTGTAGTTGGACAGGACAAAAGGTTAACCTTCTAAAATCGGCTGCTGTTTTTAGTAAAAATGTGAAAAAGAGCAAATGCAAATCTCTTCTCAAAGTTATAAACTTTAAAATGGTGAAAGAAATGGAATATTTGGGTGTCAAGATTGCTCTTAGAAGGCTGGTCAAATCTGATTTTAACAAAATTATTACAAAATCTGCTGCTAAGATGAATATATGGGGTACTAAGTTCATTTCTCTTGCTGGTAAAATCACTTTGATCAATTCATCTATTCTCTCATTGCCTATTTATCAATCAAGCCACTCTTTGATCCCTTTTAGAGTATTATATGATGTTGATAAGATGTGTAGAGAATTTCTTTGGAATAAAAGAGATGGTAGTTATGGAATGCATTATGTGTCTTAGAGCTCTTTGTGTAAACCAAAAAAATAAAGGAGGTTATGGTTTACAATCAATAGTGGAGAAATTGGGTCCTTTGAGATCTAAATATGCATTGAAATTTATTATTAAACCAAACTCTCTGCTAAACAGAGTTCTAAAAGCCAAATACGAGAATGATTTATGGAATGTTGCTAACAGAGCTAGCTGGTCTTCTACCTGGAAATTGATCCAGAAAGGCTCGGAACATCTACTTCCCATTATGAGATGGAGGATAGTTAATGGTATAAAAGTAGATACTTTCAAAGATACATGGATTCTGGATAAAACTATAAAGAAATGGCCTACTTTTGTTACAGTTTTAGATCCAGAATTTTTTCATGTGTCGGTTTTCTTGTCTGAAGGAGCGTGGAACAGAGAAAAATTGAAGCAATGTTTTGGTCTTTCTCTTATTGAATTGATTGTCTCAATTCCTATTCATTCAGATCAAGATGAAGATGAGATTGAGTGCATTCAAAAACTATCTGGCAGAACTATAACAAATCTAGCTTATGAGAAAAATTTTGAAAACATTGGAATAGATGAAAGCTACAGATGGAGAAAGAAACTGAAACTTAAGCCAAAAATTGATATATTATGGTGGAGATTAAGCAAAAATAGCATTCCTACTTATGCATTTCTTTTATACAGGAGACTAGCTGAAAGTGGAGGTTGCCCGAGAGGTTGCATGGAGTTGGAAGATACAGAACATGTGATTTTTAAATGCTATTTGGTTAAAAAGTTTATAAAATTGCTGGCTGATTGGCATTTTATAATTCCAGATTTTGATTCTCTAGCTGGTTGCTATCAGGTTTTACAGAACTTGGCTTCTTCAAATCCTTTTCTTGGAAATCTACTTTGTTCAGTAGTGTTCTACTGCTGGAATAGTAGAAACAAATTTGTCCATGGAGGGAAAGATGACACCGGTTACACTATTGCTACAAGATCCATTATACAAACTGTATCATCATTTGATACTTGTTTAATCCGGAATAACTGGGATGCTAATAAGCTATTTAAGCTGTCTAAATCTTCTTGACATCCTCCTCCTCCGGGTTGGATCAAGGTAAATATTGATGCTTCAGTTTTTCCTAACAACAAAACCGGTATTGGTGGTATTTTCAGGGAGTGTAAAGGCCGTGGATTATTGGCTTTTGGATTTCAATGTCTTCATTGGGATTGCTCACAAATGGAGCTATTGTCAATCCTAGCATTGAGAGAATATATCCAAGATTGGATGCTTGAAGTTAAAGGTATAATGATTGAAGGTGACAATTTTAATGTCATCAAGATATTTCAAAATGCCTTTAATAAACTTGCTTTTGATAAAGAATTTCTAAATCCTAAGGATTTAGATTTTCTTTTTAAATTCAAGCATTTTATCTTTTCTTTTGTTGATAGAAGTTGTAATAAGTTAGCTGATTTTTGTGCTAACTATGCTCATTTTTCATCTTTCTATTGGGATGATTTCTCTAGGAATAAAGTTCCTCCTTCATTTCTAGACTTATTGAAGGAGGAATCTTCTTGTAAATAATTGGTGCTTAATAAAAATTTTGCTTTTGGCATTGTTCAAAAAAAAATTTTTATTTTTATTTTTGATATTTTTATTAAAAATTTTGAATTTCATGGGCATTTGAGAATTTGGGAGGCATTTGAAATATTTGGGATCCCCTCTGGTTGAGATTAGCTTTCAATACAACAATCATTGGGGATTTATTGTAGCCATTTGGATACAATTACTTTTCGTAAGCATTTGGAGGCAATTTGAAGGTGTAGAGTCCCCTCCGATTGATATAAACATTTAACACGACCATCATCGGGGATTTGATATTTTTTTTATTTATTATTTAAACGGTGTCAATTCTACCTGCATACTAACAAAAGATTGGGTTTAGTATCGATTTTTATGCTTTTAGTAGTGAACCTTTCACAATCGTGTTCAAGTCTTGTCAATTCTAGTCTATTCGAATTGGAGAATTATACTTGAACTTAATGTCCACTTTTAACCCGAGCAACATTCTCAGACTTTATTTTTATCTATTTAATACATTTTTTTCAGAGCATATACAAGGTTTTAAAATTTAATATGCATGCTTCTTGAGGTAGTGACTCGCTTGTCAAGGTGGTAGCATTCTTCTTGGGGCAGTTGCTTTCTTCCCAAGGCTGCTTCACGCATCTTAGATGCGTCGGCACCCTACTCGGTGCTTTATATTTAAATACAGGAAATGGGGCATTTTAAAAAATACAAATATGATTATTTGTGCAAGTAATTATCATTGAGATGTGCACAAAAATTCATTTAGGGGCCTACAAAGGCATTATGTTCGCTTATAAATATGTTGCGGATCCGATGGCATTGTTCCAAAAATGTTCCAAGTACCAATGTGTAATATTTCAATTTTACAATTTTTTTAAAAGAAAATAATGAAAAAAAAAAATCATGCCAAGGCATATTCTTAGACCAAAAATAAATGGCATGAAAGTCATTGGATGCTTCGATGCCTTAGATACATCTTCGGAGAACCGACTTGGATCGAATTGGCTGACATTTTCTTCCCACTTTAATTTTTTTTTTCTTTGTCAATTGATATAATTGGCACCTCAATATATGTTCCTAAAGGGATTGTTAGCTTTCCTAATTTAATATCTTTTTATGCAGGCTTCATGATAAAGGAAACTGTGGGCACAATCTTAATGTTTCATTTATGATCATAGTGAGAATTTTAAGGAGACTATCAACGAATGGCCAATTTTCCTTGTGAGCAACACTTAAAAAATCTTAGAACAGTGCAAAGCATTCAGCTATTATCTGATTCCTTATCATGTTGCCTTATGTGAGCATCAGAGAAAGCCAATCATACTCTTGTTGATTGCAACCTTCTTTCAATTATTCCATGGAACTTTATCTCAACCTTAATTCTTTCTCAAACATTTGCTCCTTTGGTATAAGGGTATGTGAATGAACTTTGTTTTCGGAATGTAGAAGACTTTTACTAATTTTAGGACTGCACATGAGCAATTTATAGTCCTTTTTTTAAGCATTACTCGAACGATAACATCCTGTGAGATATTTTCAAACTCTTTATATGCATCAACTTCCAGCTTATTTTATTTCATGGGATTTTTCCACGTCGACTCTATTTTCTCTTTAATTATATCAACTACCAAATTTGGCTAGATCTTAATAGATTCCATAAGGAACAAAGGAATAAGAAACTTACTCTAATTTATCCAAGGTTCATCTCCAGATGGAATAATGCTTTTACTATGCAAAATTATAAACTAATGGATGTTGTATTGATTGGTAAAACTTCCTTGGTGTGCTTGTAATATTCAAAAATTTTGACAGATTATTTTGTTCAATACATCAGCAATCAAATTTTTTTTTTTGTTTTTATTTTTAACATCAAAGTAGCTATAATCAAAATTTTTTATCACTACATCTTTATTGGAAATCTGCCATTGAGTTTTTTCATACCACCATGACCAATGTGTATAGCAGTGCCCCATATAAAATAATTTGATATTCATTTGATTGATTTTATTTTTATATTAATAATTCAATTCAGGCTCAAGTATTCTTCAAAATTTATTTAATTTGAGTTCAAGAAATCTCCAAAAAATTATTTAATTTGAGTTAAAGAAATTTCTAAAATTATTTTATTTCAGCTTGAGAAATATCAAATTATTTTATTCAGATTTTTGATCGTCCAAATTTTGACACTATCGTGGTGTCTCCCACATGGAGGAAAAATTTCAGGAGACTGGGCCTTCCGCCACGCTGAAAAAAAAAGCATGTACATTAGGTGTCGGATAATACCGCGGCAAAAAATCTTCAATCCCACCATGTAGGAGAAAGGCGTGTATGAATCTTCGGGCACCAATTTGAAATACGCAGTTTTATATATGTCTTCGCCACTCTAGATAAAATAATGTAGAGGACTTACCCGCCTTGCTATAGGTGTCGCACAGAGTTCGCTTCCTATCATGCTAGAGAAAAATGTGTATAGGTGGTTGCCCGACGCGCCACAGACGCCGAGGACATGATTTTAGTTTTAAAGTTTGGCATAATATACTTTGACAAGCGTGAAGACACGATAGAGATTTTTTGCAAGGCTGAAATATTTTTATTAATTTTGTTTCCTCAGTTTTTTATGCATATTTACTCTTCTGATAATATATATATCCGAGAGAGAAAGGTTAAGAAGAGACTGATTTTTTGTATGAGTAGAGGAGCTATTTGGAGGTTTGGATTTAAGTGGGTTGTTTTTTGTTAGAGAGAATTTAGTGGTTGGATTAAAGAAATGGAGCTGTTGGACGTGAGAGAGGGATAATAAGAGTGGAGAGATGAGGGCTGAGGCATTAGGAGGATTTTGAACAGGTGGTAAGGCTCGGCGTGAGGCAAATCGGGAAGATGGAGCGACTAAGGGGAGAGATTGAGAGCTCGCTGGTGACAAGAGCAAGAAGGGTCGGCTAAGCTCATCAGCAGCTAAGCTGGATAAGGTGAAGGGCAGCGAGGTCGGCAGCTTGGGTAGGTTGAGAGGAGTATAAAGTGGAGAGATGGGGACTGGGGTGTTATGGGTCGTGAGCTGCAGGTTTTGAGGGTTTTTGATTAGAGATCGGCTTACTGTGATGAGGTAAGATGTCGCTGGAGTTGGGAGCTGGGAGGTGAAGAGATTTGGAGAAGGCTCGGGCTTTGCTCGCGTGAAGAAGAGGAAAAGAAAGAGGAGACAGTGAGTTCGGCTGAGAGAGGCTTGCGAATAGAAAGAGCATGAGAGATATGCCTGAATGAGATAATGTGGTAGAGATAAATATGATTTTTATTAAATTTTATTTCAGTTTTAGCTAGATAAAGCGGTGAACAAGAATGCAAGCCAATCCGAGGAAAATTTAACAATGGAATTTGGATACATGTAGAATAACGTGGCAAGCAACATGACTCTCACATTTCATTGCTTGGGAAAAATACACTATCAGGCTTAAGAAAGTGTAAATGGACATATTTTACATAATTACTTATAAGTGAAAGTTCGTTAGGGATGTTAAGCCCTATAGAATTGGCCCAAGCTAACCAAGAGATAGGTGAATTGGAAAACTTTAAAACCAAAAACACGAACCAAAATCACCACAAACAAAGTGCGGAAGAAAAATAAATGCGGAAGCTATAATAAGAAAAGAACACACCGGATTTATAGTGGTTTGGTCAAACCTTGACCTACGTCCACTCCTTGGAGGCACCCTCCAAGTATTGCACTAAAACAAGTGTCTCTCATTTAGCCCCCACAGCTAGGCGGAGAAGCCCTTACAAAATCACTTTCACCTTCCCCGGTGCGGCGGAGTCGCCGGGTCCTTTGACACCAAAGAGATCTTCTTCTTTGATGAACTTACCTCGAGACAAGCCTTGAATCCGATGGTACTAAGATGCGAGTTCGCCGGAGCAACCGTGTGGATCCCCCACCACACTCCCTTGAGTTCCTCCCCCTCACAAGATCTTCTCCCTCTCAAACTCCACCCTTTCCTCTCTCCCTTTCAAGCTCTCTCTTCAAGTTTCCCCCACAAGAACGAAGCTACAATGGCTGCCAAAGACACTTACAAAGTGTCATGCCATAGCTTAAATAGAAGCTTTCAAAACGAGCTCATTAATGCAAGTTGCCGACATTATCGTCCTAGCCGATAGATATATCATCATGGCCGATTAGTTCAAATATGAGGAAAATCCTCCTTGTAATGGCCCATTCAAATCTTCTGATCAAAATCTCAGCAAGATTCGCAATGCTCCGAATAAACTAGTTTCAATAAGGAAGTCTTCTAATCTGGTTATCAATGAAGGATTTAGACCCCCTTTGAGGTTAGATCCTATAATGGAAGGTAAAGGAAAATAAGTTCTTGAAGATCGGATTGCTGTGGTGAAGGATAATGATAAAAAACAAGATTCTTTTGGAAATCAGGTTATCGACTCAACATCTTCCTCAAATGTAGTGCTGAAGGTCAATAAATTTACAGGAATGCAAGATTCTGATGTTCTGGAGTGGGTGAATA